TGGCGTTATGGATCAGCTTGCCACATGCAGACTGTAAGCTTTGGTCCCATTTTGCCCCACAGTCACTTTTGCATGTTTTATTTTTATCATTTGTTTTGATGTATTCATTACCATTTCATCAATATGCGATCTATAACTATTATTATAGCTTTTGACCTGAAATCGATGATACCTGTTATGTCAAAAGCTGTTTTTAAAAAAAAAAAAAAATCTGTTGTTTACGTCATCCATAAGATTCTTCATTTACAGCGAGCTGAAAAAGTTACTTTCTATTTTAAATGAGAGTAAAATGACTTGCATGTGGTATGGTTGCTCATATTCAGGCGATGTATTAACTTACACACTTTCTCATCTTAACCAGCTCCCCCTCCCACAACACGTGTATATCCCTTATGATTTCACATTAGCTCGTATTAAAGTCTTTAAAACAACTTTAATTATTCTATTAGCCACATGGGGGCGAAAATTAATAAAACGATGCAGAAGAACATGACGCCAATACAATAACATAATTAGGTGTTAACCAGCTGTTCTCACATCTACTAGACTTCGAGTAACATTAGCGCTCATTTAGACTCAGATTCCATATCACATTTATATTCAATATTAAATATGTTTTGTTTTTTAGATGTCTGACTATGTTAAGCAGTTGGTTTGTTTTTCTTGATGCATGTAGGAATTGATAAGACAGAGTCAGACTGAGCTAAATACAGTAACTGTGTATAAAACAGACCAAGAAGGAGCCAAAAATCTGCACAAAACTGCATATTATGATGGTATTTATCCCACGACAGCTGAAGTTTTCCTCCAAAAAAACTTGAAAAAACCTTCGCTAATTTCATGTTGATTTGTGTGTTTGTGAAATATTGACTGTAGTACTGTATGTGGGCTTCAGTATCTAACTGGCACACTAAGAACAACAAGAAACATAATCAGTTCTGTATTCTGGTACATGTGTTTCACTTTTAGTTTTAGAAAGCCAATCAAACTGAGATCCTTCTGCTAATGTTTGTCACTTTTCCTAGGTGGCTCCTGAGGAGGAGATGGCAAAGGATGCTACAAAGATAAGTGTGAGTTGCGAACAATATCTGCAGTTATTTTCACCAGAAAGCCGTTATGTTTGCCTTGGTGTTAGAAGACTCAAAATGCTTATGATTACATTTAAATTTCTTGTTCTGCATGATCCACAGAGGTTGTGCTTATGCTGTATTGCACACAGCGATGTGATTTTCAGTCGTTGCAGCTCGCATGGTGGGTGAACGCTCCAGACGGTGCATTAACACGTTCACGAAAAATCTCGATGGCTCTGCAGAAGCACAGCGTCAGGCAAAGAGCAGGCAGCGCTGCTGCTCGTGGGTGGTTAAGTGTCCTCCCCATGGGGGAGTGGCCCCTGAGGGCATCATCTGCAAATTTTAATAAACACTACTGAAACTTTGTGGCTGCAGCACCAGATCTCAGTAAAACAGAGTAGAAAAGGAAGGGTGGGAAGTCAGCAGATCTTTTTATATCTCCTCTGGTATTCCCCCTGGCAAATGGAAAAATAGGTGAGCCTTTTATTGAAAGAAGCAGGACAGTATAGAGTAACTCAACATTTTGACTTTTTTTTAATTACCTGCAGAAGTGAGCAGACTGCAGGACCGACTGCATGTTATCTCTACATAAACTTATTCCCCTAGCCTTATCTCTTTCCACTGACTTTATAATTACAAAAATGTTCTACTTTCTGGGGTTTTAAAGCT